ATTAAAACACACACAAATATACACACTTAATACCTAAATCAAGTGCTATATACCATCACTCTACCACTGAAGGGCGCGTAAGGTTTAAATTAACATATTAAAAGAGACTGAAAAGGCAAGCAAAGCAACAAACAAAATCTACTACAAAAAGAAACATTTCTCACCTCTGGACATTCAGCTGTGCTAAGGATGGAGACTCACTACCAGGATTCAGAACTATACAACTGATTCACAGACAGGTCATTTACTAATTCTAATTATCTGCTCTGAAAATTCCTTCATCAACAAACGTGCTTATCTTTAGCCAATTGGTTAATTATTACTGATATCAAATATTAAATGTAATAGAGTCTTACTTGGGAGGCAACTCCTTGAAATACTAAATAAGGAAATAAGTAGATAAAAGCAATAAAATAAAACAAAGAAAATTCCACACACAGCAGCCCCATTTTTTTGGGGGGTATCAGATGACTTCTGTTAAGTGAATTTTCTAGAAAACTGAAATGAATTTATTAAAAAGCTTTGAAAATGTTTACCCTTATAAGAGTCTTCTAAAAAGACACCAATTTCTTAATTCCTTAAACACAGTACATAGAGTAAAAGTTTATTTATGATTAAGATCATCACTGTGACAGACCATGTACTATACTACTCTACAACATTGTGATTCCCTCAGAAGTTGATGATTATAGAACTGTATGTCTCCACGAAATGGCCTTAAAACACTATCCTTTTATAGTTCCATATACTTTTTAATAGTTCTTCAGTAGCCTTGAAATAAGATGACATTTCAGTTGTCAGTGTGCCTAACTCCAATGGCCAACCTTGCAAATTGTAATCTGTGGGCTGAAAAATCAGATAACCAACCCTGCTGGGGCTGCAAAATGTTAAGTTATTTATTCCAGTTAGTAGTTTCTGAATAAAGCTCATAGGCTTGGTTACAGTTATTTTGAAGCCTCAGGATCTCTGCTGTTTGAAATGACTAAAATCACAATCACTCAAAAAATGTTTAATTACTAACTGCAACTTACACATATTCTGGAGTTCCAAAATAATCATAATAACCGAATAGTTTGATAGTCTTCTCAAAGTTACTCAACTCACTTGTCTCTGACCAGAGAAAAATTACCTAAGTAAGCTGAGAAATAACAGATGAAAAGAAAAAGAAGGAAAGAAGTGAGAAGGACAAGTTCAAATGAAATAGCAAAGTCCATACTGCATGGTTCTAGAAGGCAAGACTTATGACTTTGGGAAATATTTACACATAGTGTTTTTTAAAGCATAATTACAGTGGTTATCAGGATATTAACTATAGAAAACTGCACTACAGTGTATACCACATATATATTAAATAGTACTTTAAAAATCAAGACTGGGAATTCCCTCATGGTCCAGTGGTTAGGACTCTGCGCTTTCACTGTCAAGGCCAAAAAAACAAAAAACAAAACAAAACAAAAAACATGCAAAGACTTGCAGCAAATATTCCTTGTACTTAAACTGACAATGAATTTTCATATGAAATGGCAGATTGTTTAAAAAAGCACCTGCACGTATTTGATATTTCTGGTCAAGTAATTTCCTGTAATCTGTCTTGGACACTGGTTCAGGGAGAGGCAGGAAATAAAATGTACATTCTTCATATAATTAATATGTAACATAGGTATTACACTATATAGTTACAAAGTTACAGGTCTATGGAAACTAGCATTGTGTCATATCTAAAGAAAAAAATCCAAGTGAGGACATCATATTATCACTTTTGTTAATATCCTCTGATTACTGAAGCTCATTAGCTCTCATAGGTCACTTCTATGACAGTAATAACTGAGAAAGAGGAAAATAAAATTTTCTGGTTTTTACTCAAGCAAAACTCAACTCACATAAAATATATTTCTCTTCTTCTTGTATTGTCTCAGTATATTTCTACCCAGTATATGGGTATTTTAGTGTCTGTAAAAGTTTGCTAATTCCTAAGATCCTCTACCAAAAACAGTTTATAAAACAAAGTTGTACGAATAAGTAACATATATTATTACAAGGATCAGATGCACATGACAACTCTCAAGGCCCAATTCCCAAGCAAAACTTTGTAAAGTTTGCAAAGGCCATTATAGAACTGTGATCTTTTGAATCCACTGTTATTTTCACAAGCTCCTAATTCTAAAAACATAAAATAAGTAAAGAATTCACAAAGTTCCGATTAAACATCAACTTCAGTTGATTTTATTTTTTTGGGGGGGGGACAGGTGATATCAAGCACATCTGGGGGTAGGCTGAAACCTGTTTAAAGAAAATTATTTAAGAGGAAAAAAATTGCCACACATACTGATTCCAAATTCTGGTCAACTCAAGTCACCCTCCCGCCATCATGAACAGACTATTTTTGGACCATGGCTCTGTCAACCTTCTACCATCCTTTCTTTTCTCTGCAACTTCTCCAATTCCATTTCAATATCAACCTATACACACTCCCGTGTCTCCTTTTGCTCTTTCCCACATCTCACCTCTCAACACTCACTTTTATTCCCCAACATTCCTACTTTAACTATTACAAGAGAAAACTACAGTGACCAAAACGAGTGGTCACTTTTTTTACGTGACAAGTGTGATAAATAATATTGCTGGTAGTTTGGAGGGAAAAATACAAAGAACAATCACAAAATGCTGCTTAGCAACTTTTGAGTATATGTATGTTTGTCTGTATTAACTACTGATGTTTGTCTGTATTAACTACTGATGTATCTTCCACTCTTCAGTTGAGAACTATTTAAGCTGATAACTTTTTAAACTTCTGGAAAACTCTGATATACACACTTGGGTAACAGTTTAGAATATATAAGTTATCAAGAAATATAAACATATAAATGTAAATAGACAGCACAACTATTAAACATAAAAATATAAAACTCAAGTGACAAAACATTTATATCTTTAAATCTTATTTCACATGTACTTTATTTTTGTACAGAACAACCAGCATACCACTCTACAGTAAAAATAATGCTATCACTCAAGCTATTTTCACAAAACTATACCACCAAAATATCTGTACAAAAAATTTACTTTTTTAAAGCATGTATGCATGAGTCAAAAAACCACTAAATAAAAATATAAGTGAGCAGAAAAAATTTTACCGATTGCTAATGTTGTGACAGAGTATCTTAAAACAACACCCCTCCGTTTCCTCCTCTTTGTTAAAAAAAAATAAAACCCATGGAAAATATCTGGAATAATACATAGCTACTGCTAAGAGTGTTTACAGAGATTTAGGACTGAGGGAGGCAACTTGATAGAATGTAACAGGAAGAATTTTACCCTTTATTTTTCTCTGTACTAAGTGTAGAGGAAAATAACACGTTTGTAGTTTAAAAAAAATTATGACCGGATTACCTAATTATCTGATTAGTTTGCGATTAATTTACCACTACGAATACTAAATAAATCCAGACTGCTCAAAAATACGAAAAAAAAAGTATACTATAAATTCATCTTTGATAAAACATTGACGGGTTGGAGAAAAACTAATCTTGCGTCAAATTCATTTAAGGAAAAATTGAACTCAAGTTTTGACATCAAAGTTTACGAAGATTAGTTTGCTTTTAAATTCGACTTAAAACATTCCACTATTGCCTTAAATACGTAAACTAAATCAATCATCCCTGAACAACAAAGATGGCAAACTCATAACAACAGTAATCAAAATCCTGTCGGAAAAAAAAACTTATCGATAATTATGAGTTAATAGGCACGTAGCAAAAAAATTAAAAGAATGGTTTTATTCTGACATCAGGTATTGTCAGAGATATAAAGGATCCCTCCAAATACTGCCAAAAGTTATCGTAAACACAAAGTTAGAGTGATGAGGGAGTTATCAATGACCAAATAAATGTGAGTAATTGATGCCCAGAGAGAAAAAATGGAATGCGTTCTATTTTAAGCGTCTGAGAAGGGGCCGTGGAGAAAGGTTCTGCAGCAGAAACAAGCGACAGAATGGTTAACAGGTCTGGAATTCTTCAGAAAATTGTAACAAGGGGAAAAACTGACAAGAACGTCTGTAAGTAAGAGGAACGGTATCCAATGTAATCCTCACGTCTGTGCTAGCACGGCTCCGTACTTCCAGTGAGACGGGGGAGGAACTATCACTGAGCGGGGGAGAAGGAGCCCGGGCTGAGGGGTGGCTTCTGCAGGTGGCGAAGCGCCCGCAGGGGGGTGGGGAGGAGAATCGTGTCGCCTCAATTGGGTCAATGTATTCCCTTCAAGACTACAGGAAGATGACGCAGCACGGCTCCCGGCACCAAGAGGCACTTGCCCCCGGCCCCTCCCTCGCAACTTGCCTTGCAGAAAGAGTTGCGGGTCCCAGGCCCCCGGAACCCAGGGCTCCGCCATCCAGGACAACTGCTCTGCCAACAAGGTCCCGCGAGAATCGGGAGATCTCGCGATACAAACCCACTAGCATCTCGCGAGTTTTCCCCAGAACCAACATGGCGGTACACAGAAATCAGTACTTCGGCATTTAGAAAGGGTTTCATTTACGGAAAGAATGTGTATAACAGAGAAAGAGCGGGAAGTCTTTTCCGCCCTATATTTCTCTTCATACCCCCCTTGTAGAGATGAAAAGCGGCAAACAACCCTAAAGCCTCCGACGACCACGGTTGCGCTACACAGACACAGCAATCTTCTGCCTCAGCCAGCCTCCGAGCCTGTCACGTGGAAACATTCTCGGCGTGCCGGTCACGTGGACCACTACTGAGCGAGCGCGCGCCCGCCACCCTCCCCAGAGCCCTCCCCGCCCCCCTTCTGCCCGCGCACACGTGCGCGCGCCCCCCCGCCCCACGTGGGGGCTTCGCCGTCGCCGCCGTCGCCGCCGCCGCCTCCAACCCACCCCCTCCTAGCACTCGGTTCCAAATCCGGGTCCCAAAGCCGATCATCCCCAAGATCCCTCCTCCTCCATTCCCCCTCCCCCATCTGGCCCCCACCACGTGCCCCGAGCGCCTGCTCACCTTTCGGGCGGGGCCGAGCACCGCAGGCCACTCCGGGAGGCGCCGTCGCCGTGGCCGCTCTCCGCCCCCGCCACGGCACTGGCTCGGCTGGCCGCCGCCGCAGGAAGCTCAACAGCGGCGCTGGGGCGCTTCCAGGTGGGTCCCCGCCTCCCGTTCCTGCCACTTCCCGCAGCACCAGTGGCTCCTTCCGGTCCCCTCCTTTCTCGTCCTTGCTGGGACTGGCGGGCTGCTGCGGCTGCGGCTGCAGCTGCAGGCGCGCTCACTACACCGCCTGCTGGTAACCGCGGCCGGTGCAGCGCCGGCTGCCCAGGCGAAGTCCACCCCCGCGATCCGCCCCCGCTCCTGGGCAAGGGTTGGTCTTCTGAGGGCGGGACCCAGTCCATCTCCTACGGCTGACTAACTTGGCTCTAGCCTTGGAGGAAGGGCGTCCCTGGAGCGCCGCGGTTGGAAGTCCGTTTCATCCTGCCTTTTGTGGCCTCTTGAGAGATTTGTACACCGCCTTTCCTTAGTAATGTGGTCTCAGGTAGAAAAATATCTGTGTGTATATTGTATGTGCCCCTGCCTACCTCATCTCCCACCGCATAGGTCCCTCGCTCACCTCTCTGGCTTTCCCTCTGTTCCTACAACACGCAGGCTCGATCCACTTCACGACTTCGCGCTTGCTGTTCCCTCTGTCTGGAACACTTCCTCCAGATTTCTTTTAACTCGTTCGGCGCGTATTTCAGGTCCTTTGTCAAAGATCGATATCTGAGGCTTCGCAGACCGCTCTATCTATCCAAAGGAGCACACTTGCACCGCCGCTTTTGCTGTCTTTACACGCTTACATTTCTTCATGACAGTTATCACTTGCTGACCTTATTTATCTGTCCTCTGCCACCAAGAATGTGAGATCTGGTGGGGTTTTTATGAATTTTATTTATTTGTTTCTATAACAGGTTCTTATTAGTTATCAATTTTATACACATTAGTGTATATATTGTCAATACCAGTCTCCCAGTTCATCACACCACCACCCCCCGCTGCTTTCCCCCCTTGGTGTCCGGACGTTTATTCTCTACGTCTGTCTCTATTTCTGCCCTGCAAACCGGTTGATCTGTACCATTTTTCTAGGTTCCACATATATGCGTTAATATACGATATATGTTTTTTTCTTTCTAACTTACTTCACTGTGTATGACAGTCTCTAGATCCATCCACATCGCTACAAATGACCCACTTTCATTCCTTTTTATGGCTGAGTAATATTCCATTGTATATATGTACCACATCTTCTTTATCCATTCATCTGTCGATGAGCATTTAGGTTGCTTCCATGACCTGGCTATTGTAAATAGTGCTGCAATGAACATTGGGGTGCATGTGTCTTTTTGAATTATGGTTTTCTCTGGGAATATGCCCAGTAGTGGGATTGCTGGGTCATATGGTAATTCTATTTTTAGTTTTCTAAGGAACCTCCATACTGTTCTCCATAGTGGCTGTATCAATTTACATTCCCACCAACAGTGCAAGAGGGTTCCCTTTTCTCCACACCCTCTCCAGCATTTATTGTTTGTAGATTTTCAGATGATGCCCATTCTAACTGGTGTGAGGTGATACCTCATTGTACTTTTGATTTGCATTTCTCTAATAATTAGTGATGTTGAGCAGCTTTTCATGTGCTTCTTGGCCATCTGTATGTCTTCTTTGGAGAAATATCTATTTAGGTCTTCTGCCCATTTTTCGATTGGGTTGTTTTCTTAATATTGAGCTCCATGAGCTGTTTATATATTTTGGAGATTAATCCTTTGTCCATTGATTCATTTGCAAATACTTTCTCCCATTCTGAGGGTTGTCTTTTCATCTTGTTTGTAGTTTCCTTTGCTTTGCAAAAGCTTTTAAGTTTCATTAGGTCCCATTTGTTTATTATTGTTTTAATTTCCATTACTCTAGGAGCTGGATCAAAAAAGATCTTGCTGTGATTTACGTCAAAGAGTGTTCTTCCTATGTTTTCCTCTAAGAGTTTTATAGCGTCCAGTCTTACATTTAGGTCTTTAATCCATTTTGAGTTTATTTTTGTGTATGGTGTTAGGGAGTGTTCTAATTTTATTCTTTGACATGTAGCTATCCAGTTTTCCCAGCACCACTTATTGAAGAGACTGTCTTTTCTCCAGTGTATATCCTTGCCTCCTTTGTCATAGATTAGTTGACCATAGGTGCATGGGTTTATCTCTGGGCTTTCTATCCTGTTCCATTGATCTATATTTCTGTTTTTGTGCCAGTACCATACTGTCTTGATTACTGTACCTTTGTAGTATAGTCTAAAGTCAGGGGGTATGATTTCCCCAGATCCCTTTTTTTCCCTTAAGACTGCTTTGGCTATTTGGGGCCTTTTGTGTCTCCATACAAATTTTAAGATTTTTTTGTTCTAGTTCTGTAAAAAATGCCAAAAATGCCATTGGTAATTCGATAGGGATTGCATTGAATCTGTAGATTGCTTTGGGTAGTATAGTCATTTTCACAATATTGATTCTTCCAATGCAAGAACATGGTATATCTCTCCATCTGTTTCTACCATCTTTAATTTCTTTCAGCAATGTCTTTTAGTTTTCTGCATACCGGTCTTTTTTCTCCCTAGGTAGGTTTATTCCTAGGTATTTTGTTCTTTTTCTTGCAATGGTAAATGGGAGTGTTTTCTTAATTTCTTTTCCAGATTTTTCATCATTAGTGTATAGGAATGCCAGAGATTTCTATGCATTAATTTTGTATCCTGCAACTTTACCAAATTCATTGATTAGCTGTAGTAGTTTTCTCATAGCATCTTTAGGATTATCCATGTATAGTATCATGTCATCTCCACAGCAGTAATAGTTTTACTTCTTCTTTTCCAATTTGTATTCCTTTTATTTCTCTTTCTTCTCTGATTGCCGTGTCTAGGACTTCCAAAACTATGTTGAATAATAGTGGCGAGAGTGGACATCCTTGGCTTGTTCCTGATCTTAGAGGAAATGCTTTCAGTTTTTCACCATTGACAACGATGTTTGCCGTGGGTTTGTCGTATATGGCCTTCATTATGTTGAGGTAGGTTCCCTCTATGCCCACTTTCTGGAGAGTTTTTATCATAAATGGATGTTGAATTTTGTCAAAAGCTTTTTCTGCATCTGTTGAGATGATCATATGGTTTTTATCCTTCAGTTCGTTAATATGGTGTATCACATTGATTGATTTGTGCATATTAAAGAATCCTTGCAACCCTGGGATAAATCCCACTTGATCATGGTGTATGATCCTTTTAATGTGTTGTTGGGTTCTGTTTGCTAGTGTTCTGTTGAGGACTTTTGCATCTATATTCATCAGTGATATTGGTCTGTAATTTTCTTTTTTTGTAGTATCTTTGTCTGGTTTTGGTATCAGGGTGATGGGGGCCTCATAGAATGAGTTTGGGAGTGTTCCTTCCTCTGCAGTGCTTTGGAAGAGTTTGAGAAGGATGGATGTTAGCTCTTCTCTAAATGTTTGATAGAATTCACCTGTGAAGCCATCTGGTCCTAGACTTTTGTTTGTTGGAAGATTTTTAATCACAGTTTTAATTTCATTACTTGTGAATGGTCTGTTCATATTTTCTGTTACTTCCTGGTTCAGTCTTGGAAGGTTACCTTTCTAAGAATTTGTCCATTTCTTCCAGGTTGTCCATTTTATTGGCATAGAGTTGCTTGTAGTAGTCTGTTAGGATGCTTTGTATTTCTGCGGTGTCTGTTGTAACTTCTCCTTTTTCATTTCTAATTTTATTGATTTGAGTCATCGCCCTCTTTTTCTTGATGAGTCTGGCTAATGGTTTATCAATTTTGTTTATCTTCTCAAAGAACCAGCTTTTAGGGTTTTTTTGTTTTTTGAATTTTTGAATTTTTTTTTATACAGCATGTTCTTATTAGTTATCCATTTTATACATATTAGTGTATATATGTCAATCCCAATCTCCCAATTCATCACAACAACAACACCCCCCTGTCACTTTCCCCCCTTGGTGTCCATACTTTTGTTCTCTACATCTGTGTCTCTATTTCTGCCCCGCAAACTGAGAACCAGCTTTTAGTTTTACTAATCTTTGCTATTGTTTTCTTTGTTGCTATTTCATTTATTTATGCTCTGATCTTTATGATTCCTTTCCTTCTGTAACTTTGAGTTTTGTTTGTTCTTCTTTCTCTAGTTTCTTTAGATGTAAGGTTTGATTGTTTATTTGAGATTTTTCTTGTTTCTTGAGGTAGGCTTGTATTGCTATAAACTTCCCTCTTAGAACTGCTTTTGCTGCATCCCATAGGTTTTGGATCATTGTGTTTTCACTGTAATTTGTCTCTAGGTATGTTTTGATTTCCTCTTTGATTTCTTCAGTGATCTCTTGGTTATTTAGTAATGTATTGTTTAGCCTCATGTGTTTGTGTTTTTTACGTTTCTTTTCCCTGTAATTGATTTCTAATCTCACAGTGTTGTGGTCAGAAAAGATGCTTGATGTGACTTCAATTTTCTTAAATTTACTGAGGCTTGGTTTGTGACCCAAGATGTACTCTATCCTGGAGAATGTTCCATGTGCACTTGAGAAGAAAGTGTAATCTGCTGCTTTTGGATGGAATGTCCTATAAATATCAATTAAATCTATCTGGTCTATTGTGTCATTTAAAGCTTGTGATTCCTTAATAATTTTCATTTTGGATGATCTGTCCATTGGTGTAAGTGAGGTGTTAAAGTCCCCTACTATTATTGTGTTACTGTCGATTTCCTCTTCTATAGCTGTTAGCGTTTGCCTTATGTATTGAGGTGCTCCTATGTTGAGGGCATATATATTTATACTTGTTATATCTTCTTCTTGGATTGATCCCTTGATCATTATGTAGTGTCCTTCCTTGTCTCTTGTAACATTCTTTATTTTAAAGTCTATTTTATCTGATATGAGTATTGCTACTCCAGCTTTCTTTTGATTTCCATTTGCATGGAATATCTTTTTCCGTCCCCTCACTTTCAGTCTGTATGTGTTCCTAGGTCTGAAGTGGGTCTCTTGTAGAGAGCATATATATGAGTCTTGTTTTTGTATCCATTCAGAGAGCCTGCGTCTTTTGCTTGGAGCATTTAATCCA